GAGCTAAATGACCATTGGCGTGGTCACGCGTGGTACAAAAAAGGGGTGTGTGTATATATATATATATATATATATATATATATCTACAAGACTACATTGGCGCTTCGCGCCATGCGCTTGGTCCCAGACCCTCCCTGGCAAAGCAATGAATCATCGCTTTCTTCAGCGGGGGGACCTCGAAGTGTGGACGGGCGACCGGCTCATTTTTCTTATACCCTTGGTGCTTGTTGACACCGCGTTCGCCCGATGCGCTTGCACGTTTGTGCGCAAGAGTGGGGACATAATGGTGTTTTTTTCACGCGCGGAGGTCCTTTGAGGACGTAAAGAGCGTTCCCATGACACGCCGAAGAAGTCGCAGTAGCTCCGAACAAACCGATGTTCGGTAGCTTCCTGAATGCCTGTGGGGGCCCCAGGCACTCAGGAAATCTTCGGTCGTCGAACATCGAATCTAGATCCATTGCCTGTCTGTCTCGATCGAGGAACTTGAGCCTCGAGCTTCAAGCGTGGAGCCAAGATCGTCGGGTCGGCTCGATGTACTTCGTAGGAAAACGCTGTCTGGGCGGTTTAAGTGATGTTTTGGGCCGTCCCGGGGCCCTCTTGGGCCGCCCTGTGGCCTTCTGGGCCGTCTTGGGGAGTTGGGGCCCTCCAGAGGCCTTCTGAAGCCATCTGATGGCCTTCTTGGGGGTCTCCCATGGCGTTCGTGGGTGTTTCTTGGAAGCCTTCTGGGGGCATCTTGGGTTTCTTGCGGGCAGTCCCGGGGCTATCCGGGGCAGTCTTGGGGCCCCCTTTGGGCCGTCTTCACACCTCTGGGGGGCCTCTTGGGGCGATATCGGGGGCCCATCGGGCCGTCATTGACGCTGGAATGGGACGATGTTGCTTCTTCGGGGCTCTCTTAACAGCTTCTTGGGGCGTCTTGGGAGCCTCTTGGGCCGTCTTCAGACCATCGAGGTTCCTATTGGAACGCTCTTATGCTGTCTTGGGTCTCTTTTGCGACTCTCCGATGACCCCTTTGATCGCCTTGAGTCTGCTCGCAAGGCCCGGCAAGGCGTCCTGAGGGGCTCGGAAGGGTCAGCGGACCGTCTTCCAAGGGCGTCCAGGGGGCCGCTGAGACGTCCGAAAGGGCGTCCAGGGCGTCCCTGGGAGGCGTCCGGATGAAGGGTGGTGGGTGGGGTGGGGCTTCCGGGCAACAAAAGAATGAGTCGGTGTGTATATGTATGTGTATGTATATATATATATATATATATATATATATATATATATATTTATCACCTGGAGCCCCCACCCACCCACCCCAAAAAGAAACGGACCCCCAAGGTCTGGTCTGAAGACGGCCCAAAAGGCCCCCAAGACGCCCCAAGAGGCTGTTAAGAGAGCCCCGAAGAAGCAAACGTCGTCCCATCCATTCGAGAAAATGTATAAGTTCAACATATCCGCTGTTTGGGACTTCGCAGCGTCCAAGACGGCCCGATGGGCCCCCGATATCGCCCTAAGACGGCCCAAGAGGTCCCCCAGAGATGTGAAGACGGCCCAAGAGGGCCCCAAGACTGCCCCAGAGAGCCCCGAGACTGCCCGCAAGAAGCCCAAGATGACCCCAGAAGTTTCCCAAGAGAGACCCACGAAAGCCATGGGAGACCACCAAGAAGACCACTGGAGGCCCCCAAGAGGGCCCTAGATGGCTTCCGAAGACCTCTGGAGGGCCCCAGCTCTCCAGGACGGCCCAAGAAGGCCCCAGGACGGCCTAAAAGAGCTTCAAAAACGCCCAGACGGCATTTTCCTACGAAGTACATCGCCCGACGATATTGGTTCCACGCTTGAGGCTCGAGGTTCAAGTTCCTCGATCGAGAGAGACAGGCAATGGATCTAGATTTAAAGTTCGACGATCGAAGATTCCCTGAGTGCCTGGGGCCTTCTGAGGCATTCAGGAAGCTACCGAACATCGATTTGTTCGGAGCTACTGCGACTCCTTCGGCGTGTCATGGGAACGCTCAGTACTTCCTCAAGGGCCCGTCGCGCGTGGCAAATCATCATTATGTCCCCGCTCCTGAGCACAATCGTGCAAGCGCATCGGGCGAACGCGGCGTCAGCAGGCACCAGGGGGGATCAGAAAAATGAGCCGGTCGCCCGTCCAGGCTTCGCGGTCCCCCCCCCGCTGAAGCAAGCGATGATTTATTGCTTCGCCAGGGGCGGTCTGGGACAAGGCGCATAGCGCGAAGTCCCAATGCAGTCTCACCTCCAAGAGGCGCTCGAAACCCTGCAAATCTTAACTTCTCTGTAGTTTTACTATGTTTTTTCGGCGATGTCCTCATTCGGCTTGCCAGGCGTCCGAGAACGCAGGCGAGGCACCGAAAACCTGTTTCCGACTCCAGGAAAGCCGGACGGGGGCCCAAGACGGATTTTAAATTGCCCACAGGCGGCCCCATGACCGCCCCAAATGGACCCCACGGGACCAGAAGGTACCCCCAAGACGCGCTCGAACCCGAAAAACGGTGCTGTTTCAATGATGGCGTAAGATTCATTGCCATTCGTTCCTTCGGCTCGCTGGGCGTCCGAAGACATGGTTCAAACTCCGAACACCGCCCCAAGTAAACCCAAGCGCGCTTCCTGAATCCCTCAAGCGGCCCACGAGGGCCCGGGACGGCCCCCAAACTGCCCACGGGCGGCGCGATTTGACGGCCAGGGGAGGCCCCAACGCGAGCCAAATTAGCATCCTCGCACGGCGCCATGAGGGCCCTCGACGACCCCCAAACTGCTCATAGGCGGCTCCATGACGGCCCTGGGGACACCGTCTTGGACGCTCCTCAACGGGGCCCCCCCTTGGGATGGCGAGCGGCCGCCCCAAGACGGCCCGAGGAACGTCCGAGGTGGCTCCGAAATGGGCCGCAGGGCCCTCGCACCGCTTCGTCGGGCCCCCATGCAGTTCCCTGAGTTCTCGCCCGCTCAGGTGGTCTGTAATTCTGGAGAGCCGCAGTTTGCCCACAACCCCAGGTTCGCAACCCTTTGTTCTGGAAACTCGGCTGCGCAGCCAGGGCTCCGGCAGTTTCCATTTACGCCATTCCGTACTCCCGTGGTCTCTCCGATTCACAATTCTGGCCCGTCCCAAAATGACTGCCCCTTCTCTCCTTCCCCCGGTGCTCCGTGATACGAGCCAGCGAGCACACCTCAAAGGGAAAAGAGGAAGGCGCGAAAGGCCAACCGCTCCAAAACTTCAAGGAACAAGGTGCATGGCGCGAAGCGCGAATGCAGCCTTGCACATATATATATAATATATAATATATACATATATATACACACATATAGGTATACGTATATATACATATATGTGTGTGCGTACCTATGTACATGTGTATGCGTAGGTGTGCTCAGGTGTGTCCAGGTGTGTCCAGGTGTGTCCAGGTGTGTGTGGATGTGTCGGTGTGCGGGTGTGTGGGTGTGGGGGTGTGGGGGTGTGGCGGTGTGGGGTGAGGGGGTGTGGGGGTGTAGGGTGTGTGTGTGTGTGGGTGTGTGTGTGTGTGTGTGTGTGTGGGGGAGTGTGGGAGTGCGAGAGTGTGGGAGTGTGTTGTGTGTGTGTGTGTTGTGTGTGTTTGTGTGTGTGTTGCCCTTTTGCTTGCAGAGATAACCAGAACGCCGCTCGAGACCAGCCACAAACGGACCGAAAACGCGTCCCAAAAGGCCTTCCTAGGAGGGCCGAAGAGGGCCGTAAAAGGGGGGCCCAGAGTAGCACAGGGCGGCCCGGGGGAGGTTCTGCATGGCCCACGCGAGTGCACTCTAGGCCGCATGATGGGGTCGGAGTAGATGGGGTCGGAGGATTGCGCAGCATCGCGCATCGCCGATGCATCGCCGACGTCGACTATGCATCGCTGGTGCATCGGACGCATCGCCGGTGCATCGCCGATGCATCGCCGCTGCATCGCCGATGTATCGCCGATGTATCGGCGATACGGCGCGATTATCCGACCCGATTTACTCCGACCCCATCGAGAAGGCCTTTGTGAACGTTCGCGCTGGGCCGCAACCCCGCGCAGATGCCATCAAAAACCCTGCCGTTTCGGGCCACTTTGGGCTTCGTTTCGGGTGCCGGTTGGGCCTAGCATCATCAAATTGGACCCCGCAGCGCGCCTAGTTAGTTTTTGGCGGCCTCTTGGGGGCCTCTTGGGGGCGCTCCTGGGGTCACTGGGGGATTCTTGGGGCGATCGCGTCGGAAAAGATTCGGGATGACAGACTAAGACGGCCCAGGAGGGCCCAAAGAGGGACTCCTCCTGGGCCGTTTTAGGGGCCCCTGGGGTTGTCTTGGGGTCCTCTTGGGGCCTCTTGGGGTCCTCTTGGGTCGTCTTGGAGCCCTCTTGGGGGCGTCATGGTCCGTCTTGGACGCCGTGAAGACGAAGAAAAACGAGCATGCTAGAAATGTATGTGCTCCCATGGGAATGGGATGGGCGCTCTCTCGGCGGTCCCTTGGAAGCCATCTGGGACCGTCGTGCGGCTTCTTTGGGCCATCGCGAAGCTTGTGTGGATTGAAGTAACGCTCTGCGTGGACCCCCATTGAGCCGTCTTGGCGCTCCTGAGGGATCCTGGATGCGCCGAGGCTGCTTTGGGAGCTCGCCCCCCCGCCCCCCCTCTCATCGGATTTCATTCCACGGGAGAGGGTCATGGGTAGTCAGTCAGTCAGTCAAGCCATACGCCGGAACGCGTGGGCGAAAAGAGACGATGCTGGCCTGTACTCTATGCTTTGCGGGAGCAGCGGCACGCCCACCGGTTGTTCAACTGCATCATGTGCGGGTGGAAAAGAGGAGAGGCGGGGGAGAGTGGGCAGGGGGGCTCACTCAAACAGGGCGGTTCACGCAAACTTTCAGTGGCTTGTAAAGTTCAACGAAAAATCTTTGCATGTTGTAGCGTCGCGCAGCCAATCATCTCCCACGCTCTTGCAAACCCCGACAGGGGGGGGGCGCGGATTTCACAACCTGAAGGTGCTCAGCTATACCGTGGCTGGAAGTGCTAACGCGTTCATGTCCGCCATCACACTCTTGTTCGTAGTCATCTACGTGTTTGGCTTAATGTTCATGCAGGGCTTGCAGTCGTATATTGTTAGAGACAACGCCGATCCATTGGTAGTTCTTCAACTGGAGGCTTTTTTTGGATCCCCAGCTGACACCTTATTCACTCTGCTGAACGTTATCACTGGTGGAGATTGGGAAGACGTGGCCACTACGTTGAGGGACATCGAACCCTCTTACCAGTGGTTTTTCTTAGCGTACATTACGTTCACTGTTCTTTGTATCTTGAACATTCTCAACGGAGTGTTCGTTACCGTTGCCATCGAATCCGCCCAGACGAACAAGGAGTTGGCTATCCAGAGTACCCAATACAAGACTAGGGCTCTCATAGAACAGATGGTGGAATGGTTCATCGAGGCAGACAAAGACATGTCAAACAAGGTCTCTTATGAGGAGCTGCACGATCTCATGCGAGACGACAAAGTGCGGGCTTTTCTGCGGGCCCACGGCATTGATGTCGCGAGCACTGCCCAGGTATTCTTTCTTCTGGACCGGGACGGTACTGGGGAGATCGAGCCTGAAGAATTTGTTGACAATTTGATCCTGCTGCAGGGTAGCGCGAAGGCTCTTGATTTAGCATCATTGCGCGTGGTCTGCGATGACTTGACTCAGAAGTTTGATGATCTGGATGACATGATGCGTAGACATATCGTTGGCCTGGGCCCACCTGCTACTCCGTCTCGCCGTCAAGCAAAGATTCCTGGCGGGCTCGGGTGTGGACTTCGGCTTGGATGGGATGGGCCAGAAGACGACCCAACTTCGTCAAGACCAAACAGTTTTGGGCAGCCGATGTCTGTAAGCAGTATGTTCTATCGCCAGGTGACCAGGTGAAAGTCAGTTGAGCTGCAGCGGCTTGCGCGCCCCGGTTCGGCCTCCCCGAGGCCTCCGAAAGTCGTGCACCAGAGGTCACGCTTGCCCATGGTCGCCATTACGTGTAACCGAAAAATAATTATTTAAATCCTTTGTCGCGGCACAGCCGTTGCCGCCTCCCCCTGGCAATGGCAAGACCGTGCGCACGTAGCCCGCCCTGCTGCTGCCAGACGCCAGGCTCGAGCGGCTTGGTGCGCCCAGGATTCCTGCAAAGGTAGATCGTTGGTTGGACGATCGTCGAAATTGCGCTCGTTATACTTCGATGGCAGGGGCGTCTAGGGATGAGAGCGCCAACATCACATGCTTAGATTGCTCGAGTTATTGCCACTGGCCCCAATAGCAAAACTGTTGACCCATTTGGATAGACTCGAAAACATGAAGCCATTTTCGAGTTTGTGGTAGCCACTTTCGTGCCTCCCGAACTCTCCTAAGTACACGCACAGGTTCAAATTGAACGATTGTGCATACTGGCGTCGACAGAATGTGGCAGACACGCCACCCACACGAGCGAGTCGAAGTGAGCGCATCGCACGCGGCAGACGAACTGTTGCCGGCTCGGTGGACGTGTTCCACCGTCGGGGAGTCCAGCGCGAATCCAAGAAGTCCGCGCGGAGCGCCAAAAGTCGTCTCAACGTGCCCGGTGGCGGATACGAGGCCGCTTGGCCCCCAGCACCCCCGCGTTCGGGGCCACAACCCCAGCCGGCGACACTGGCGACTGGGCGCTCGAGCCTGGCGACCTCTCGTCGCTCAAGCAGTGGCGAAGCGTCCCAGCGTGCCTATAGCCCTACCAAACGATGTTCCAAGAACCTGTTGTGGTTTCCACGCGATGTTCTTAGAACATTTCTTGCTGGGACTGTCTTGCTTGAACGCATGAGGCTCATGTTCTAAGAATACTGCTTCTGTTCGTAGAACATTTTGGGGGTCTAAGAACATGTCGAGGTAGGACCATAGGAATGCCGGGACGGTCGGTCCCTGCTCAAGTCGCCCCCTTCCCCCGCCCTACCCTACCCCCCCGTCCCGCCCCGTCCGTGCGAATACTTCTTGTGATCCTGCGCTGTGAGCGCCCCCCGGATCTGGGGACACCTTGAGCGCAATTGCCGCCGTCTCCATGCCACAGCACGGCGCAGCGACGGTGGTTCAGCCGATAACGTAGACAGTTTTGTTAGGTCTCTCGTTTCAGTTCGGTAGGTAGGGTCCTCCCTGCCGCGGAGGGCGACGCACTGCTGTGCCTGAGTGGCTGAATTCGCATGTGCGTGGGTCAGCCTAGCAGGCTGGACATGTGTTTCGCTTGACTGGAATCCTGCCTAACAGGCTGGATCTGCTTTCGCTTGCACGGCATCCTTCACACAGGGCGGAACATGCCAAGAAATGTATGACACGCGACAGGAGCGGCTCGACTCGGTCTCTCGTCTCAGTAGGCCGCGCCCTGCCCCATTCCCCCATACGAGAAGCACTTGGCCTGGCGAAGTTCCCAACCATCTGCAGCTTCGAGTGTCGCAGAGTCTGGCCCTCTCCTCATAGGTAGTACGCCGCGAGAGGGATGGAGCACTTGGCAATGCGGATGAGGTAAACATAAACTTTCGGAGCTCCTCGCAGATTTCTTGGATCTGCGCTGGACCCCCCCTGGCAGCGCCTCTGGAGCCGCTCCTGGCGCACTCTGCCCCGCCCCGTCCGTGCGAATACTTCTTGTGATCCTGCGCTGTGAGCGCCCCCCGGATCTGGGGACACCTTGAGCGCAATTGCCGCCGTCTCCATGCCACAGCACGGCGCAGCGACGGTGGTTCAGCCGATAACGTAGACAGTTTTGTTAGGTCTCTCGTTTCAGTTCGGTAGGTAGGGTCCTCCCTGCCGCGGAGGGCGACGCACTGCTGTGCCTGAGTGGCTGAATTCGCATGTGCGTGGGTCAGCCTAGCAGGCTGGACATGTGTTTCGCTTGACTGGAATCCTGCCTAACAGGCTGGATCTGCTTTCGCTTGCACGGCATCCTTCACACAGGGCGGAACATGCCAAGAAATGTATGACACGCGACAGGAGCGGCTCGACTCGGTCTCTCGTCTCAGTAGGCCGCGCCCTGCCCCATTCCCCCATACGAGAAGCACTTGGCCTGGCGAAGTTCCCAACCATCTGCAGCTTCGAGTGTCGCAGAGTCTGGCCCTCTCCTCATAGGTAGTACGCCGCGAGAGGGATGGAGCACTTGGCAATGCGGATGAGGTAAACATAAACTTTCGGAGCTCCTCGCAGATTTCTTGGATCTGCGCTGGACCCCCCCTGGCAGCGCCTCTGGAGCCGCTCCTGGCGCACTCTGCCCCGCCCCGTCCGTGCGAATACTTCTTGTGATCCTGCGCTGTGAGCGCCCCCCGGATCTGGGGACACCTTGAGCGCAATTGCCGCTGTCTCCATGCCACAGCACGGCGCAGCGACGGTGGTTCAGCCGATAACGTAGACAGTTTTGTTAGGTCTCTCGTTTCAGTTCGGTAGGTAGGGTCCTCCCTGCCGCGGAGGGCGACGCACTGCTGTGCCTGAGTGGCTGAATTCGCATGTGCGTGGGTCAGCCTAGCAGGCTGGACATGTGTTTCGCTTGACTGGAATCCTGCCTAACAGGCTGGATCTGCTTTCGCTTGCACGGCATCCTTCACACAGGGCGGAACATGCCAAGAAATGTATGACACGCGACAGGAGCGGCTCGACTCGGTCTCTCGTCTCAGTAGGCCGCGCCCTGCCCCATTCCCCCATACGAGAAGCACTTGGCCTGGCGAAGTTCCCAACCATCTGCAGCTTCGAGTGTCGCAGAGTCTGGCCCTCTCCTCATAGGTAGTACGCCGCGAGAGGGATGGAGCACTTGGCAATGCGGATGAGGTAAACATAAACTTTCGGAGCTCCTCGCAGATTTCTTGGATCTGCGCTGGACCCCCCCTGGCAGCGCCTCTGGAGCCGCTCCTGGCGCACTCTGCCCCGCCCCGTCCGTGCGAATACTTCTTGTGATCCTGCGCTGTGAGCGCCCCCCGGATCTGGGGACACCTTGAGCGCAATTACCGCCGTCTCCATGCCACAGCACGGCGCAGCGACGGTGGTTCAGCCGATAACGTAGACAGTTTTGTTAGGTCTCTCGTTTCAGTTCGGTAGGTAGGGTCCTCCCTGCCGCGGAGGGCGACGCACTGCTGTGCCTGAGTGGCTGAATTCGCATGTGCGTGGGTCAGCCTAGCAGGCTGGACATGTGTTTCGCTTGACTGGAATCCTGCCTAACATGTGTTTCGCTTGACTGGAATCCTGCCTAACAGACTGGATCTGCTTTCGCTTGCACGGCATCCTTCACACAGGGCGGAACATGCCAAGAAATGTATGACACGCGACAGGAGCGGCTCGACTCGGTCTCTCGTCTCAGTAGGCCGCGCCCTGCCCCATTCCCCCATACGAGAAGCACTTGGCCTGGCGAAGTTCCCAACCATCTGCAGCTTCGAGTGTCGCAGAGTCTGGCCCTCTCCTCATAGGTAGTACGCCGCGAGAGGGATGGAGCACTTGGCAATGCGGATGAGGTAAACATAAACTTTCGGAGCTCCTCGCAGATTTCTTGGATCTGCGCTGGACCCCCCCTGGCAGCGCCTCTGGAGCCGCTCCTGGCGCACTCTGCCCCGCCCCGTCCGTGCGAATACTTCTTGTGATCCTGCGCTGTGAGCGCCCCCCGGATCTGGGGACACCTTGAGCGCAATTGCCGCCGTCTCCATGCCACAGCACGGCGCAGCGACGGTGGTTCAGCCGATAACGTAGACAGTTTTTGTTAGGTTCTCTTCGTTTCAGTCGGTAGGTAGGGTGCCTCCCTGACGCGGAGGGCGACGCCCTGCTGTGCCTTAGTGGCTGGAATCGCCATGTGCCGTGGGTCAGCCTAGCAGGCTGACCATGTGTTTTCGCTTGAAACTGGATACTGCCTAACAGGCTGGATATGCTTTCGCTTGCACGGCCCTTCACTACAGTGCGGAACATGCCAAGAAATTTATGACACGCGACAGGAGGCTCCGCCTCGGTCTCTCGTCTCAGTAGGCCGCGCCCTGCCCCATTCCCCCATACGAGAAGCACTTGGCCTGGCGAAGTTCCCAACCATCTGCAGCTTCGAGAGTCGCAGAGTCTGGCCCTCTCCTCATAGGTAGTACGCCGCGAGAGGGATGGAGCACTTGGCAATGCGGATGAGGTAAACATACACTTTCGGAGCTCCTCGCAGATTTCTTGGATCTGCGCTGGACCCCCCCTGGCAGCGCCTCTGGAGCCGCTCCTGGCGCACTCTGCCCCGCCCCGTCCGTGCGAATACTTCTTGTGATCCTGCGCTGTGAGCGCCCCCCGAAGCTGGGGACACCTTGAGCGCAATTACCGCCGTCTCCATGCCACAGCACGGCGCAGCGACGGTGGTTCAAGCCGATAACGTAGACATTTTTGTTAGTCTCTCCGTTTCATTTCGGTAAGGTATGGTCCTCCCTTGCTCGGCGCTTTGTCGCAACCCTTGACACTTGCTCATGATTCGCATGTGCGGTGGCGCGGGTCAGCCTAGCAGGCTGGACATTATTTCGCTTGACTGGAATCCTGCCTAACAGGCTGGATCTGCTTTCGCTTGCACGGCATCCTTCACACAGGGCGGAACATGCCAAGAAATGTATGACACGCGACAGGAGCGGCTCGACTCGGTCTCTCGTCTCAGTAGGCCGCGCCCTGCCCCATTCCCCCATACGAGAAGCACTTGGCCTGGCGAAGTTCCCAACCATCTGCAGCTTCGAGTGTCGCAGAGTCTGGCCCTCTCCTCATAGGTAGTACGCCGCGAGAGGGATGGAGCACTTGGCAATGCGGATGAGGTAAACATAAACTTTCGGAGCTCCTCGCAGATTTCTTGGATCTGCGCTGGACCCCCCCTGGCAGCGCCTCTGGAGCCGCTCCTGGCGCACTCTGCCCCGCCCCGTCCGTGCGAATACTTCTTGTGA